GTGTATTGCTATAAGCCATTGAAACCCAGGTACATTGCTAGCAACTTTATGTAATAGATAACTTTTCCTTCCATTTCTCTAACTCTTGGTAGCTACCAAATAAAGAGGAAAGAAAAGCCTGTGGGAAGTTTGCTGTTGCCTATAGATTCCTTTTGGGAAATTTAGTTCTTAAAAAGAAATTGAGTTCTTAAAAGCCTCCCCCACCCCCAAAGGTATTTGGGTGGTATCATGCACACAAGAGAGCATGACAGTGAGCACTGGGGAACAGCATTTCAACTCTTTCATGCTAATGAATGACAATGCAATTGTCTGCTAGAGAGTATTTTAAAGGATAAACTATGACAACTGGATGCTATCCGTTTATTTCCACATATCCAGGAAGGAAAGTTTTTCAAATAGTGGACAAATATTTAAATACTTTTCAAATATAACCCATCCTCTTGAACGGCATGGAAATCTGTCATATGGTCTTGGCTTAACTTGGTTGGCAGCAACTGTTCTTCCTAAGAAGCAGCATTGGCACATTGGGGACTGACAGCAGCAGACTCTAACTATGGAAAGCTGCCTTCTCAATAGCAACAGGAGACCATTTTCAGATCTGAAACTCTATATTCTGTAGCAAACAAACAAAAATATGCTGATTCTTGGAATATGCAATTTCCCACCAAGCCTATTTATAAAACTGCCTGATAAAATAGCATATAGAAGAAATGACTGCAACTCAGAATATCTGGGTTGTATTCCCAGCTCAGTTTACCCTTGAGTGAGCCATATAAAAAGAAAAAAAAAAAAAAAAAAATTAAAAAAGTAAGTCTTTATACCTCAGTTTCCCCACATCTACAGAGATAATAAATAATAGGGGTGATCTCATTTGTGTCTGGAAAGCATGCTGAGCTGATTTAGTGGCAGACACTAAGTGTCATGCTTTATTATTGCATTAGGCTGACTGTACTTCTGAAATCCCTCTAACATTTCCCACTTGGCATTGGTTGTGGGTGGTAACAGTTCTGTATTAATTTTAAAGAGGATGCATTACAGCACTGCCTGATGTATAATTACATGGTTTATCATAAAAGCATTTTCTAAGAAAGGCAGTAACCTGGGAGATCCTCTCTGTTTTGCTTGGGGTTTTGGGGGGTTTGTTGGGCTTTTTTGGTGATTTTTGGTTTGTTTTTTTTTTCTGCTCTGTTAAACTACCACGCTACAAAGTGAATTGTTTCATTACGGATCCTGCCAAGCAGCTCTACTGTGCTCCTTATAGCTACGTGTGAAGTATTGAGGTGAAGTTCATAACTATATTTGGGTATTCGGGTTTATTTCCTCCACTCTCCCAAAGGTTAGCATGACGAGCGGTTGAGGAATGCTGGAGGAAACCATCGTTCAGACGAGCAGGCTGTGTGTCCCGCTCAATCCCGTTTGGTGCTGCGAGCGCTTAGGTCGGCGGGCTGCGGGTCAGGGCTCGGACCGCGCAAACACGGGGTCGGGGCTGTTCCCTTCGCGCGTTGCTGAGGCCGCAGCAGCGCTCGGAGCAGAAGTGTTGAAGTCGATCCTCCCGGGTCGGACGTGCCGTGTAACGCGGGGTGGTAGGAAGGAGAGGAAGCGTGGAGAGGAAGTGAGTAAGTTGAGCAGCCCGGCCCAGAGCGCGGCGGGAGGCAGGGTCAGCGGAGCGAGCGCGGGCAGGGAAGTGTCGCAACCGCTGACCCCCCTGTGTGTGTTCTCGGGAACAGCCTCGCCGGAGGAAAATCTCAGATAAGAGGATTTTTGGGGGAAACGTTGCTGCACAGTTAGTGCAGGGCAAAACGATCTGTTGCTAACTCTGAAAAGAGGGGCAGCGCGCGCTGCTCCTGCTCAGGGGCGCTCGGCGCAGCGGGAGCGCCCCAAAAACCCCAGACTTGTTGCGTGCAGCTCCTGCTGTTCTTTGTCTTCTGTTCTGCATTGCTTGTCTATCCTTTGCAAACTGACTATTACCCATGAGGATATATATATACTGGAGCTTTATGTTTTCCCGAGGAGTTGAAGATAAAATTTCTAAGAGGTGCATGGTTACTTTGATACTTAAACCTGTGAAGGGGGATATTCTCTGTTACCCATATATTTGCATGAGATAATTCAATGTAAAAATAAAATAAAAAAAAATATATATATAGTGGCATGTGTACATTCTGATAATTTCATGTGTACATCTACATGCTTTACATTTTTTACAACTAACTCCTGAGCAGTTGTGTCCCTGGAAGAATGAGATGAATGAGAAGGGCACCCTATGAGTAAGGGGGAAAACCAGAAGGAAGTGATGATCCCCATGGGAAGAGAGGAAATTAAATGTGACATTCCATTGCCAGCTGGGTGTTGGTTTGCTATATTTTCTCCATTAACAACTTTTTTATTATATTTTTTTTTAATAGAATATTTCTGAAGTGAACAAACTCCTCTTCTACCACTGCCTCCTCCCAGTATTTTTTTTACGCCATTGCGTCACTATAAAAATACAGACTATCAGTAATGTTTTGGTATTATGTGGATTATCAATCTTTGTTTACAAATTGCTGTTTGCATTCTTTATGCTTGCCACTTTTAAATTAATGAGAAAAAAAAAAAAAATCTGAAGTGGGTGGATGGGTGGGTGAAGTCCATTCCTCGAATACTAGATGCTTGCAAAACAGCTGCTGGAATGAAATTTCTCTGGCTCCTCAGTGAGAGGATAGTTCAAATTCTAGTCAAAATTAGGATTGGTGCACCAGATTATGTGCGGGTGTGACAAATGAAAAAGGAAATGCTTGGTAAGATATTTTTATTTGTAATGTGAAACTAACCTAAAATAATATTAGTGGGTATTGAATTATGTATGTTCCAGTGGATCACTTTCATTGCAATACAGAAAATAGTTCTGGTTATAGTAGTAGCTCAGAGAATATTTCTGAGACATTACTTTAGAAGGATGACTGAAGCTGAAATGCTCGTAGTACGGAACACATGATGCTGAGGGTGTGGTATGTATCTTTTATCGTCATAATTCCATATTATTCTAAATATGTGTTCATACAATCCTTAGAGACTCTACATTAGCATTTATTGTATCTGGTTATACTTGAATAAAGACTTTCTTAGCTACAGTTGGCTTTAAAAAACTTTTTATGTGAGCCTTTCATGCCACTCACCTGCAATAGCAAAAAAACCCCTGAGTATCAGTCAATCAGTGGAAACACAGGTGACTGACTCAAGCAGGTCTCTGGTTGCAGCAGGAAAATTTAAGGCCCTGTCTAATAGCAGCATCATTTGGCTATAGGAAAGCTGATCCCACTTGCAAAGTTTAATTCTGTGGAGTTATCTGAAGTTCTAAAGCTGTCAAGAAAGCCGTAGCAAACTAGATGAAATATGAGAAGCAGGGTAGACTAAACAACTTACAATCCTATGTCTTTAATGAAGAGGGAGAAAGTCAATGACAAAGTTACCCAGATAGCAAAGTAGTCCTTAGCATGTGAACATGCACTGACCAGTGATACAGTGATACTTTTACTGGATGGAAAGTGGCTGTTGGCTCTCTGGGTAAGACTCTGGACTGGGAATTGGATCCATTTTCCCACTTTGGTTCTGCCACAAGTTTCCTTGGTGAACTAAGCAAGTAGTTAATGGCTTTGGCCTCTGTTTTTCGGTTCATGAAATGGGATTCTGACCCTTTCCTCCCAAGGGTCTTTGAGGTTAAATAAAAGGATGTTTATAAAGTGAGGTAATATTGTTTTTATGAAAGAGATGCAGCTTCAACATTTTCAAACAATATTCTCAGCAGAGAAAGAACTTTAGATATTATATTTACTTACACATTGATGCTGTTGTATGCCTTCTCTCAGTGGTAACATCCCACGGTAGTGGGAGGTTCTGTACAATCCTTTTTCTCTGGGGTGAAGAGAGAGGCCATGAACACATGAAAGGGATCCAGTGCTGGCTGCCAAGGGCCACTGATACCCTCTGACTGTGTGACATCCCCATGCAAAGCTGCTCTATCCAAGCTGCTTCTGTGCACTGGGACACCTGGGGTTGATGTGAGCACCTTTTGGGGTGCACTCATCCTTTGGTACACGGGTGAAAGGTGTTCCTTTATCTTTATCTCACCCTAGGTGAACCTGGTTCCCCTCGTGTGCATGCTGTTGGTGTTGCCAAATGCTCTCTGTTCATCTATGCCTTATGAAATGCCTTCAACCTCTCTCTTCACCTCCTCCTTTATTTTGGAGAATGTAGTTCAGCTGGTCCTTTTCAACCTTTTGTTGATAAGTGCCATTTTGGTGCTGCTTGTTGCTAAGTATTTGGTGAGGCTCAGTCTCACCCTTTCCCCCTCCTCTTTTGGCAGAGAAAGAATATAGAATATATACTTTAATTCCAGGGGTGAGACTACTGTACATCTGGTGCTCTCAGTCTCCTCTGTGCACATGACAGCACTCTGAACTGTAAGTGAGGGGACAAACAACCTGTCCCTATGTGGCAGAACACAGTGATTCCTGCAGAAAGTGTCCCAGAGGAGCTGCCAGGCACAGATGACCAGCAGCAAGCCAAGGAACTCTTACCAAAACAGAGGCACACGTCTCTGCAATCACTTTCTCTTCAGCAGCCCCAGAGCGAGAAAGTTGGTGATGGGGCGTGCGTGGAGGTAGAAACACGGTGGGAGGTGGAATTGTGGTAGCTGTGATTGATTTATGACAGGAGTTTCCTTTACAGTCATAAGGGGAATTTTGCTTGGTCACAGCGAGTTTGAACCCTCATGAAACAGCCTGAATCATTTGAAGTTAAAATAAAACAGAATGGCAGGGGGAGGAGCATGGCCATTAAAAAAAAAAAAAAAGGCAAAAAGCACAACGTTAAAATTATTTCCTTTGGTGCTGACTTCTTAAATGGGAATGTGATCCAAAATAGTTCTGGTGTGCAAGCCAACATTTGTTTTAAGAATTTTTATTGTCTTCTTTCCTCTCTTCCCCCTCTCCTCCTTTCCCTCCCCCTCTGCTCTGCAGATTTACACTGACTGGGCTAACCACTACCTAGCAAAATCTGGCCACAAGCGGTTGATCAAGGATTTGCAACAGGACATTGCAGATGGAGTTCTGCTAGCAGAAATCATCCAGATCATCGGTAAGAGCAGGGCTGAGGGAAGCACTGTGAGCTGACTCCTTGCATGGGGGAATATATAATTCAAGTTGAATGTATTTAACAATAAGATGAACCCTGAATAATACACTTTGACTGGGTCCATATGTCTCTGATATTTGTGTGGTTCATCCTTGTTTTAATTAAAAAATATGTTTATGTGGGCATGTTTGGAAGTGGCTGTTTAACCATACTGTAAATGGCCAGAACTATATCTTACACACTTTGAATTGTCAGAAATGAATGCTCCATTCAACCATATGTCTCCCATGTGTGCATTTTGTTAGCTGGAGTTAGTTTCTGGGATGCCTTGAAACTGTATCCTGACCCTGCAAAGACAATTGTGGAAGATTTCATGTCAGCAGTTATTTTGCAGGGGCTGAAGAATTAGCAGCGACCTCCTTCGCACTTCCCCCTTTGCATGATTTGGCATGTGGAAGAAACTGCTGCTAACAAGAGTGTTGTTACTGTAAGACTGAGCTTTACTTAGAAAGGAGCTCTGTGTCAACAAAACCCTATGCACTTTATTGCTGTGTCTTTTCTGCTCTTCTTCTGCTTGTTTGGTTTGGGGATTTTTAGTTTGTTTGTTTGTTTTGGTTTTTTGTTTGTTTGGGTTTTTTTTAGCCAGGGAATGGGAAGTTTTATCTTCTTGTTCACTTCTGCTTTTCTCCTTACTGTTTTTGTTTAGCAAATGAAAAGGTTGAAGATATCAATGGCTGTCCCCGGAGCCAGTCTCAAATGGTAAGAATAAAATATATTTTTAGTCTGTGTTGGCACCACTGCACTTTCCTAAAGTGCTTTTTAATAATGATTTATTTAAACTGTGAATATTCTGTCCCATGTTTACCACAAAGTCCTAACTCTCATATAGTGTTCCTGGTACTTTTTTGTTATCACATATGCTTAGTGTTTGTCACTTAATTTCTGCTTGCTAAGTTTGGGACTGAAGGTAACCAAGCAGAAAACTTCATCACTTCTAAGTAATCCAGAACTGTCTTAGCAGACCTGTTCTTCTGATGATCCAGATAATTTCATTTAACTTCATTTTTAAGGGCAGTAAATCCAAGAACACATTTTTAAGTGGAGTCTTTGTGTCTGGAAAACTAGTTTGATGAATAAGACTTGCCAAATTATTTTTGAATATAAATAGCCTTTTGGATTGTCCAGTGTGAAGTCCAGTTAGATGTCCTGGCTCTAAGACTTTCAGAAATAGCACTTTAGTCATTTAGCTCTCTGAACTATAGCTGGCAGCTGCTTAAAGACATTTTAATACTCCCAGGCAAGAAGCATTTTGTGACTGTGATTCATATGGAGTCTTACTAATCTTTTACTGTGTTTATGGCTAGTTAACTACATTTCATAAGATAAAGCCTCCTTAGAAGGCTGGGCAACGGACAGGTACAAAATCTCAGCCTCTGTAGCATCACCATGCATTTATTGTATCATTTGCAGTTCCAGCCATGCTCTCTCATGCTGAGGACTTTCTGTGCCTTTCTGTTCACTTCAAAATAGTATGTAAATAAGGTGCACAATTATGTAGTTGGCAAGGATTTTGGATTGTTCTGATTTGGATGAGCTTGCACAATAGCAAAATGCAGAAGCTGGGCTTAAAAATGGAAATGGAGTAGACAAAGTTTGTATTAATTCATTGTTTAAAAGGGGAGAGTGTTTACAGCTTTTTTTTTTTTTTCTGAAATATTACAATTGGTAAAAGGAAAAAAAATTGAGTACTAGTGAAGTGAATTATCAAGCCTTTTGCTTCTTACTTTAAAAAAAAGTGTGCAGCTTTAGCATACATTTTTTCTCTGACTTTGAGGCTTTTTGAAACAGTCCATAGTAAGAATACATATCATTTCTTTAATAATAGTTGTTATTATTTTAATTACTCGTATTACAGCAGCACCTAGTGGCCCCAGCTGAGAACGCTGGGAACTCCAGTGTGGAACTCTAGTGTTACACACAGAGATCAAGAGATAATCAGTCTCTACTTTAATCACATTAAAACCTGCCATTCCAGACAGACAAGACAAACAAGAAGAGACAAAAGCACAGAAAAGTGATATGATTTCCTGAGGTTATGTAAGTGGTAAGTGACCACTTAGGGACCCACCACTCAGATGTCTATCGAGCTTCATTAACATGGGAGAAAGCCGAGCTGCAGAAAGAACTATTCACCCCACCAACGTTTTCATCTCCAAAATGGCAACATTTGTGTACATTGCCTGTAGATAGGTAAATCTTTATGTGGCAGAGGGATTCTGGATTTCATCTCTAGCTCTGCTGCAGTTACAGGGCAAGCATTGTCAATGCATGCCTGATCACAGTAGTACCTGTGGGAATCTCTTTATATCTGTCTTTGTCCTCCCATAAACACATCTCTCAGCTCAGCCAGGCCAAAGACTGTCTCAGGAGCTCTGGGTCTCAAACCAGGTGCTTCGAACTCTCCTGTAAGTAGTCATGCATCAGTATTTGCAGAGTGCTAAGCATCAGGTTCAGGAACTTTAACTTGATAGTAAATAGTATAGATGTATAAATTCATCTTTGTTTTGGCCTTTTCACTGTATTGTTTTATCTCTACAGTCTAATCAGATTATTTTCCTGCCCTTTAACATACTATTTTTATACTGCTGATTTATTTGGCTGAGCTAGGAAATTTAAAAGGTATTGAAGGTAATGTAGTTCAAACTTGTCAGCTTTCATGTAAAAGTATCTCAGAGACCCCAGGTATTAAACCTGCTCTTCATTTGCCTCCCATGAGTTGTGTACTGATCTGGCCTAGCTGAAGGCACCACCTTTTTGCATTTTCAGGTAATTTCCCCTGACAGTGCCCAATTTTCTTAACCCACTCAGCTAATGACAGGCCAGTTCTTCTCTTGTAGAAGCAAAGTCTTAGTTGTTTGTAATATGCAGAAAAAGAAAAAGTAACCGCAGTTGAAGCTACTTTATATATTTGACATATGCCAGTGTGTGAGGACTTGTCAGAACATCAGCCATCAAACCAGCATGATGATATTCCTATAGCATATTTGTTAGCTATTCATTCACTGCTTTGATGTTAACATTTTTAGTTCATAAACCCACCACACTTTCACATTTTTTCATGATCCTTGCTCTCAAACCTGCCATTCAGGATAAACGCTTTCTGTATCCTTTTGCCTAGAAAGCACTGACAACTGCTTCTGGAAACACTTCATATCCTCTGTAGCTTGTATTAATTCATAATTAATCACTACCAAAATTCCCAAGTTCTGTTCCACTCATCATTTGATTTTCTTCTTGCCAATGGCTTAGTCTTTCAAGTGATTTTTAAGGCACCTCAATTCAACTGTTACCTTAATTTGTAGAGAACTTTTAATGCTTATTTTAAATATATAAAAGCTTCCTTTTTAGTTTTCTTTTAGTTAGGTCTTGCACTGTCTATGCTCATCTTGGCAGTGATACCTGAAATACTTGCAGACAAGTTGAACTGGCTCCACAGATCCAAGTTCATAAAAATTAAAACTTGTGAACCCCAGCAACAACCAAATTTTGCATAGCTAGCTTGACCAGGATCCTCGTGGCTGTCATTATGTTCACATATTTGATTCTACATACAGAATTTGAGAACCTGACATGTACTAGGGAATAAATTATTTCATATTCAAATCTCAGTTACTTAAAAAATGAAAAAGTTACAAAATAATTGGCAAGATTTGCTAGTTTGCTGGTTAATCTGGTAAAAAGATTTTTACATTTCTTGTAAATTATTTTAATAAAGATAATGAGGATAATAAGGATTTTAGACTGTGCATTATAATATACATTGTCTGTCTACACTTGCCTTAAGACTTTCTCTGACAGAAATGTGCTGGGCAGACACTGTTGAGCAGCATCCTTCAGTATCCAGGGATCTCAATATCCAAGGATGAGAATGTCAGCATTAGCATTCTGTGTCTAAAAATTGTTTGTGAAAAACAGGATAATATTGTATAAATTAAGTATGGTAGGTACCATGAAGGCCCATAGAATTTCATATGAAAATGTGTGGGATATGGTTATGTGGAGCTCCTTGAATATTGGGAAGCCTGAAAATGTCATCCCTATGCTCACTGTCAAGTGGGCCCCATAAGCAAGCTCTGTCTCGCTGTTCAGTGTTGAACTGTGCAAGAATCTTCTGGTTTCACTAAATTAATTGTTGGTGAGCTTGGTTATATATGTTCAAGGTATACCTTCTATGCTTTGGAGAAGTTCCATATAAGACTTCCACACAAACATGACACATTGAAATATATACAGAAATTTAGCTATATGCGGAAGTATCATCCATTAGAACTGGAAATTCAATCTGAGTTTTGAAAACTAATCCCAACTCCATTCATGCACAGGCCAGTTTCTTCATACAGTGGTACCTGTGCAACTCCCTTTCGTTTCAGTTCTGACTGTCACGCCATGGCTATCAGTGGATATTCACAGAATTCAGACCTGGCTGCTATAGGAGTTTCATGAAAAAACAAGGGAATAAGGGACTCCTGTTTTTTCAGCTCTGCAGATTTGGTGTGCTTAAACGAGTGGACCACAAGACAGTAATCTAGTTCCTGCATTTCTGTGGTGCATGCTTGCATATTTAGTTTTTAGAATGTAAGTGTGTTAATTGGAGTGTGTGCACTTCCTTGTAATTGGATGTAAGAGGAGTAAATGTATTTTACTTTAGAAATTAAGAGCAGTTGGTTGATTTTCCACATAAATGCCATTAACAATTTGTTAGGAAGGGAAAACAAGGAATAACTGGTGAGTGTTCACAAAAAGACAGTCTGTGATTTGCATCCCCCTGAGGATCTGTGCTTGTGACTCATTCTTCATGTTCACGAATGATCTGGAAAAAGGCATGCATAGTAAAAAGACAAAAATTGCAAATAATTACTGAAGATAATGAAATCCAAATCTGACAGTGAGCTGCAGAAAGACCTTGCAATTCTCATTTAAAAGGTGTGTTGAACTCCTATTAACTTTTACAAGTGAAATGTTAACAGATATGCATAGAGTGTTCTGGATGATGCGTTGATCACTCTGTTTTGGGCAAGATGATGTTTGCGTAAGATACAGGACAAGGCTTGAGAAAACAGTCTTAGTTGGTACAAATCTCTGTCTAGAAATGTAGTAAAAAAGGAAGGCTTCTCACAATATAGGCAGGACAGAATCCAAAATTTATTTTCCTATCCTCTGGTAGGCAAAGAGCAAGTGGGATTTGATAATGGAGTAGTCTTTAAGAGGGGAAAAAATTAAAGTACTTCTAGAAAAGGATGACAGCTTCACAGCATGATATTTAAAGAAGAGACCTCAGTAAAGCCAAATGAAAAAAAAAAAGTAGTAATTAAAATCTGAGCTCCTCTGAGAGGTTTCATGTGTTTATAGATAGGAAAGCTCATATTTTAGCTGTGTTACATGGAAAGAGTCTTTAAGACAAAGTCATAACTTTTGTGAGGGTGTTTGTGGGGGAGAAGACTAGAAGAGTACACCCACGTATTAGATAAAGCACTGTGTGGAAAGGATAACAGAAGGATTAAGAGTTTTGCTCAAATTGGCAACTAGTTAGAAAAATAATTTTAATTTTGATGAGAGTATTCAGATCTGAAACAGAGAAAGAGACAAGATTCCTCTTCTAATGACAGTATACCTGTGTTCTAGATTATTGTAATCCAGATCAGTGGCTATTTGGCATGCTCATATCAGGAATATACATCCTTATTTGCTGGAGAAGTTTT